CAGCAGCAGCAGCGGGAGGGGGAGCAGCAGCAGGAGGGGGAGGGGGAGCAGCAGCAGCTGCTGCAGCAGCAGCAGCAGGAGGGGGAGGAGCAGCAGCAGCAGCAGCTGCAGCAGATGCAGCAGCAGCAGGAAGCAGCAGTGAAGCTGTCGCCTCAGTCTGTTTTGTCTTGTTCATTTTATAATCAAGGGTGCCACGGAGGCCTTCCGTACTTAGTCGGAAAACATGCTACTGAAATAGGCAAGAGTTTATTTTTATTTTTATTTTTACTTCTTTTTTACCGTTTTGTTTTTATTGGTTGTTAATATCTTTTTGAGTTCCTTCTGATTACATGCTGCTGCAATAGGCAAGAGCTCGTTTGTTTATCACAGTTTTTTATTTATTTGTTTTTATTTCTTTTCAATTTATTTCTTTTTTTTAGTTTCTTTCTGATTTCTTTCTAGTTTCTTCTTTGTTTTATTGTTTGATCCTTTTTTAATGTCCATGCTACTGAAATAGGCGGGAGCCTTTTATTCTGTTTTCTTTAATTTCTTTTTTATTTATTTGTTTTAATTCCTTTTTTGATTTCCTTTTAACTTCTTGTTAATTTCCTGTTTAATTTCTCTTCTGTTTTTTCTTCAATTTATTTTCCAATTTCTTTATTTTATTTATTTATTCTGTTTTTAATTTACTTTTTTTTGCCGCTGCTGCACAGGCATCTTAGACGAACAGTGCATGCCGTACACGGCAATGGACTTGTCTTCTTGTCCCGTCTTAAATCGAAATAAAAACGAAAAAGATTTTCTAAAAAGTGAAAAAGATTTTCTAAAAGGTGAAATTAACGGAAGTGGAGAAGACAGCAGTTCAAATGCAGCTTTTCTGCTTTCGGGGGAGGCCACGGGCACTTGCCATCAAGGGGAGAACAGATGGTAAGCTTCGACCTTTTCTTTGCTTTTTAACATTTTTAGATCTAATTATGCATTTTTCAAAGAAATAAAATGAATTAGTTCCAATTACGTTGCCAAAATAATTGAATTTGCAGCTGAAATAGGGAAAAATGCGGCGGAGCGGCTGCTGCGCAATAATTTCGGGTGTACGTACACCTCAGCCCCGGAGCCAGCTCCAGTTGCTTTTCACAATATTGATAGCGGCGACAATAATAATAATTATTATTAATGATGATTACAATTATTAGTAATAAATAGTGCGAATAATAGAAGAGAAATGATAATAAGAGCTTGTCCAGAGGCTGAGTCGAGGTGTACATACACCTCAGTACTTGGCGTGGCTTCGCCGAAAAGGAAGCTGAAGAACGCCGAAGAAGTGTTTTAAAGTATTCATTTAATTCGCAATTACCATTTTAATAAACTTAGAATAAACGAGGCAATTGACGAATTGAAAAATAGAAGAGTTGGACTGTGAATGTGGCTGGGTTATTCTTTTTTGTTTCTGCTTTCTGCAGGTTCGCCAAAGGCTACGGCTACGTGGGGGGCTGCTACGAGTGTCTGTCTTGTTCTGCAGAACAGAAAATAATGAAAGAAATTATGACCAATGGTCCAGTAGCTGCAGCTCTTGACGCGCCTCCTTCTTTGTTTGCCTACAGTTCAGGTGTATATACAACTCGGGGGGCCCCACACGCCCGCGTCTGCGACTTGCCCGGTGCCCCATCTTTCCTCCCCACCAGCAGCAGCAGCAGCAGCAGCAGCAGCGGCAGCGCGCTGAGCGGGTGGGAGTACACGAACCACGCAGTGACGATTGTGGGGTGGGGGGAGACGGGATCGGGATCGGGATCGGATCCCCAGAAGTATTGGATCGTGCGCAACACTTGGGGCCCCCAGTGGGGACTTAAAGGATTTTTTCTTTTGGAAAGAGGAAACAATTCCGGAGGCATTGAAAACCAAACTTCCTTCATTGACCCCGACCTCACTCGCGGCAAGGGGCTCGCCCTCGCCTCCGCTTCCAACCAGCTAGCTAGCTAGCTAGCTGGCTAGCGGTGGGACAGCTAGCCAGCTGGCTAGCTAGCCGTAGGACAGCTAGCTGGCTAGCTACGGCTAGCTAGCTAGCCGGCTGGCTAGCTGGCGGTGGGCCAGCTAGCTGGCGAGCCAGCTAGCTAGGTTGCTAGCTAGCGGTGGGACAGCTGGCTAGCTAGCCAGCTAGCTAGCTGGATTGCGGTGGCGTACCCAGCTAGCTAGCTAGCTAGCTAGCAAGCTAGCTAGCCAACGGGCAGCGGCCCAAATGCGGAGTGGT